ACCCTTTTTATTGACCCTCGGTGGGGGCGGGGACAAGGAGGCCCCGCCCTAAAAGAGGAGGGCACAAGGAGGCCCCGCCCTAAGAGGGGAGGGGACAAGGAGGCCCCGCCCTAACGGAGGAGGGGCAACAACAGGAAGGGGAGGAGCCACCCGGGCCCCTGCAGGGGGTGGCCCCGCCCCGACGGGCCCTTGATTGGGCCCTTGGTCCCATCCTTGCGCCCCTGGCGCCCGGCGGCCATATTGTCCCCGCCCCCGGCGGCCATATTGTCCCCGCCCCCAGCAGCCATATTGCCACCATCACTGGCAGCCATCTTGTCCCCGCCCCCAGCGGCCATCTTGCCACCATCCCCGGCAGCCATCTTGCCACCGTCGCCAGCGGCCATCTTGCCACCTGCTGCCCTCTTGCCCCCGCCGGCCACGCCGGGGTCAAGCGCGGCCACATCGGAGTGACCGGTGGCCGCGCTGTCACCGGCGGCCACGCCAACCCCGGTGTTGGCCCCGGTGTCGTTCTGCGCGCCGGTGGCGTTTTCGGCCGCCTTGGGCGTGGCCGTGGGGGCGTGGCCGTGGGGCAGGAGCTCGAGGCGGGGCAGGTCGGGGTCGAAGAGGGTCCTGTTGGCCAGGTCTCGGTTGCAGAGGTCGCCGGCGCAGCAGGAGCCGCTGAGCGAGGCCGCGTCGTCCCCCCGCCATTCCCGGGAGCAGCTCCCGTCCCGCACGCAGCCACGAACCTCCCGCCACAGCGTCACGTTACCTGAGGGGGGGGGGGGTCAGGGGAGGGGTCAGCGGCGAGGCCACGCCCCCTACACGCCCTGTGGGGTCCCTAAAGGGTCACCCTGGCAGTGACCACGCCCCCTAAATGCCATATAGGGCCACCCTATGACCCCTATAGGGTCATCCCAGTGATGGCCACGCCCCCTAAATGCCATATAAGTTCACCATGGCGACCACTACACCCCCCCCACAGGGTCACCCTAAGACCCCTATAGGGTCACCCTACATCTCCTATAGGATCACTCTGCGATGGCCACGCCCCCTAAATGCCATATAGGGTCACCCTCTGTCCCCTATAGGATCACCCTGGCAATGGCCACGCCCCCTAGATGCCATATAAGGTCACCATGGCGACCACTACACCCCCTCATAAGGTCACCCTAAGACCCCTATAGGGTCACCCTGAGATGGCCACACCCCCCCAGACACCATATAGGGTCACCCTACATCCCCTATAGGGTCACCCTGTGATGGCCACGCCCCTTAGACACCATATAGGGTCACTCTCTGTCCCCTATAGGGTCACCCTGGCAATGGCCACACCCCCCAGATGCCATATAAGGTCACCATGGCGACCACTACACCCCCCCCTATAGGGTCACCCTACATCCCCTATAGGGTCATCCCAGCAATGGCCACGCCCCCTACATACCATATAGGGTCACCTTACGTCCCCTATAGGGTCATCCAGGCACTGGCCACGCCCCCTAGACACCATATAGGGTCACTCTACGTCCCCTGTAGGGTCATCCTGTGATGGCCACGCCCCCTAAATGCCATATAAGGTCACCATGGCGACCACTACACCCCCTCCCATAGGGTCACCCTACATCTCCTATAGGGTCATCCAGGCACTGGCCACACCCCCTAGGAACCCCACAAAGACCCCCTAAAGACCCCACAGGGCCCCCCCCAGTCTCACCCAGTTTGAGGGTGACGTTGCCATGGAAACAGCCCCTCAGGTCGTCGTAGCACTGGACGATGGTGGTGGGGGGACAGGGACCCCCCTCCTCGGGGCACCCGAAACATTGGAGCCCGTTGGGGGTCCGGGCGCTGCCATTGGCTGGGGGAGGGAGGGGCGTGGTCAGAGAGGCTCCGCCCATGGGCTGCA